ATATAGATATAGATATTATGTATGTATATGTATATTTGATTAATGGTGGAAGAGAATGTACACACCCAAAAAAATCTTTCTCTAAGCATTATTTTTTTCACTTTCACAAATTCCGCTCTATTTTTCTTTCTATTCCATTTGTTGCAGTTCATCTCGTTCCTGCAGTCTTCTACCTATCAGAATGATACATTTTTCAGGTAGGATTTGAAACAAATGGCTTATACATGTCGCAAACGCATGACAGATGCAGCGATAATTAAAAATGATCATTTGGTTCAAGTCATTGATGTCATGATCAAACAGAGAGATTATGTGATGGTTATAAGTTTTTTCCATACTCTGTATGCTGGAAAACTGATTTTAAGATTGCCTTGATTTCTATTATGATTGAAATCATGATTGCAAATTGAGTTAAGTGATACTTTTAATAATAAAGGAGTTGTTCCTATAACTGATTTTTTGTTTGTTTGTTTTAAGCTTTTATTTTGCTGATCAATTGTTTAATGCATCTTTTTCTTGATTCTCAAAAGAGAAAATTGCATTATATTTTTCTTCTAGAAAATACGAAGAGTTAAAATATCAACATTTGATTTTTATTCAACTTGAGAAGCATTTTTCTTACCGACATCGGTTTCCAGGCCATGCAAAATGAACGTTTTTGGTTATCTTTTTGCTGTATAGGTAATAACCAGAATCAACTACGGTCAGGATATTAATATTAGTGGACTAGCTGGAGCTGTTTCATTAGCTGGCTCCGATGATGGCTTGTGGTCAGTTGATGGTGGTAATTGGCAGCTTGCTGCTGGTTTGATAAACTATTCTAATGTCACATTACATCTTAATGAAGAGGTGACCTCCGTTTCCTATGTTGAAGGCCAGAATTATGCTCTCAGCACTAAAGAAGGATTGCAGTACCACTGTGCAGTCACCGTATTTGCCACTCCTCTGGACGAGCTAAACATCACATTTACACCTCCAGTTTCAATTCCCAGCAGGAGACTACAGCATACTTTTACAACCTTTGTGAGGGGTTTCTTAAACCCGGTAATATCATTTTTTTTTGGTGAAATTTGAATGGCTGTTTTGCTTTATTATTATTATTATTATTATTATTATTATTATTATCCATAATTTTTATAGGTTAAGCTTAAAGGTCAGAATAGTTGATTATAAATCTATTGTACAAATGTTGGAAGGGTTGAACCAAAAAAAAAATTGAGCTTTTGGATAAAATGGATTTAATAATATTACAGTATAAGCTTATTATGCAGCTATGCAACAAATGCCTTCTTTATTTTTTATTTATTTTGCCAATGTGGAGAAAAATTATTCCATGCGGATCGGACACCCC